ATGGAAACAAAGTCTTTGTGAACAGGGAAGGGTGGAGGGGGTGAAGGGAGGGCAGGGGAATGGGAAAAAATAAGAACCAAGATACATCATGTAAAGGTTCAAGATCCCAATGATGAATATAACTGTACTGTACACCTAAAATGTACCAATAAACTTAATGAAAAAGAAAAGTTCATATAATGTTGGACCTGCTGGTCTTTGGAGTCCTAGTGTGCCTTCACATGTTAGACAAGAAAAACCTGCTGACACCTGTTTCATTGAAGGAGACACAAAGTACATTGGTTCATGGCAACACCATCAAGACCTCTCAGTATTTTGGATTTATTTCATTTCCTAACAAGTACTTGTTCCTACTATAAGGCAAGGAGTGCTGATATGTGTTTTACATGTTCACAAGACGGCCCTTTCCTCAGGAATGGTGTGTATTTGTAAATGTGCGCCTGAGTCTGCATGCTTAGATACTCATGCAGTTTTCTTACCATGGGCAAGCATTCAACCCCTCGCCTCATGGCACAAGCTCTGCCTTCTCTGTACTTCTCCTGCAGTCAGCCCTGGTGTCAGGCCCCCACTGTGGCTCTGGATCTTGGTGAACCCCACCCCCTCCTACCATTGGCTCACCCTGGGACGCAGGGCGGAGTCCTTTTTGCAGATGGTCGGAGATGGTCGGAGATGATCAGAGAGCTCACTTTGGCAGTGGCTCCCTCCGTCAGTTTGCAGCTGGATTTGAACGCAGGCCTCCTGAGTGATGTGTGCCTTCTTCCTCTGATACCGCAGCGTTTCTTAGTCGCAACTTGCTGAAGGGATGAGACTGACAGTGGCGTCTGTGAGAACAGTGGCCTTGGTGGAACCGCACTGTGCTGTTGACCTGACAGCTCGCTTGCGTCTCGCAACGGTGGCTGTGTCGCAAGCACCCAGAAGAAGGAAGTGTGCAAATTAATTCCACGCTACCTTGGTAGAATGTTTCAAGGAAATGGAACACTTCGGTTTGTGCTTGGGAAAATGTCAAGCCCCTGTCCCAGGTTTTAATTTGTTCACAGCAAAGCCAGAGCTTCTCTAGCTGCACTGCTCCCTTGGGAAGGCAAACAGTGCAGAGCCAGGCAGGCCTTTACGGGAAATGTCATCATTTTTATAGACCTGGCCCTTGACGTGGTCAGGTTTAGCAACTTTCTTGGACCACACAGGGAGCCAGGCTGCAGGAACAGCTGGCAACAAAGTCTCCTTCCAGCCAAATAGTCTTTCCCCGAAACTATCTACCTTCCCCAGGAAACTGTTCTTTTAATAGCAGCCTACCCTCCACTGAGAACCTGGGTGGGAGGAGGAACAGAGGCATCTTCTGAATCCTCTTTCCACGGGTGTTTCCACATGTGAGCTGTGTGGCCCCAGCCTCTGGGGTGAGTCAGGAGCAGAGGTTTTTGGGAGGGTGGAGAGGGCTCTGGCTTCTATGCCCGTGCATCTCCCAGGCCTAGTGTAATGGAGCTGCGAGTTCCTGGTGGAGTTTCTTTAATGTGGAGTTTATTGCTGCTTCACGGAAGAGATTTTGTATCAAAGTTTAGAGCGAGGAAGTGGAGAGTGTGGCCTATGGCTGGACTTCCAGGTTTACCCTCCAACCCTTTACTAGGTAGAAGGCTTAGCTTGTCTCTGGCTTTAAAAAAAACCAAATATACATTTAAGGTAAAGTTTTATATTATCACCATCATCTTCATTTGGGTTGTTATGACTTTGTCTAATATGCTGTGTTAGGCTATTAAGTTTGAATATAAATGTGAGAAGGTCTACTTTGGGCATATTATGATTTTATAAAAATTGATTCCCTTTGGGAATTCTTTCAGGGGGCTTTTTGTTTTTGAGTGGGGTCTTGTGTTACTGAACCTGGCATCTTACTGTCTCAGCCTCTAAGCAGCTGGGACTACAAGTATGTGCCTCCATACCTGGTTTGGAGAGCGTAATTTGATGTCACAGAGATGAAAGTTCTGCACCTCTCCTCTTGGTGACAGAATGTACCTTTAGTTTAATTCTTTTCTGTATTTTAAACTGATGACTCTGAGCACCTATTACCACCTTGCTGACAGGTAAGACAGTATCCTTTAAAAGGTAAATTTGTTCTGTCCTGAACTGACCAGAAGTAAGCAAGAGGTAAATAAACCACAAGCAGGCCCACAGTGTGATCTACAGTTTCTTTGTATTTGTTTTGGATTCAGCGTTCAATGTAGGTGTTAAACTCTGTTGAAAACACAAAACTCTGGAGACCAGCTGTGGTAATTTTCAAGTGTACCTTCCGTACTTAGCCGCAGTGAGCTTTTTTTTTTTAAGTGCTTCTGAGTGGAGCCGTGCCTTGTGACCCACAGTTACTGCAGCTTGCTGAACTAAATTCTCTTTGGTTGCTGCTCTGAAGTAAAACATAGCATCCACTACCGGGCTGTGTGTAGATGGCTGGCGTTTATCTGCGCAGTGAAAAAAACCAACCACCAGGGGGCCCAAGTATGTAGCGTCTGCACTCAGTCCTCCAGGTTCTGCCTGGTTCTGGAGTTACTTTGTACTTCATGGAGACCAGCCTACTGTACAGCTCTTGTAAACGTGTATTTTTCTTCACAGTGTTAGAAAGCTACCTCAGAAGATGAACTGTTTTCCGTTGTCACTGGCTAACATTTACAAGTTTTTGGCCACATTGTATTTTGCTTAGAGTAATATAAAACTTTGAACACTATTTTTCTTTGTCAATTTTTATTTCTCAGTTATTGTCTTTGATGTTTAGTTATGTTTATGTACTTATTCCTACACATTTTCTGCAGTTTGGAAATTAAATTAATAGATGTTTTATTTTGCTTTTGAAATGCAAACTATCTGCCTGGCTTATATTACCTTATTTTGATATCTACATTCTGTAGAAAATAAACTAAAGAAGAAACACAAAATAGCAAGAAATCAACATGTACTTTATATGGACTTATTCCTCCCCCCCAACCTTTTTATTTTGTTTTATAAAAAGAAAGGTGCTATAAAGTTTCCTACTTACATTAGTAGAAAAATACTTCAATGTCAACCTATTCATTTTAGAATGTATGTGCAGTAAAGTTCACCTGCTACCCTTAGAAAACTGAGACACAATGTCTTAATTCTGGTCTCCATGGTTTTTAGTTTTTGAGCACAAAGTTTATGGAATTTGATTTTTTCAAAACATAAGCTGAAGGCCTAAGCAAAAATAAAGTACATCTTCAAAAATTTAATTTCCAGTTTCCTATCTGGGTCTTTTTTCTTTTTTCTTAAGAATTTTGAAACTATTAAGCACTATCACTTCTATTATATCAGAAGAAAATGAAGATAAAATTTAAATTAGTTTTTTCTCCTTGTACTAATTCTAGTTAAAGATTTTGTTGGGGAAAGATGAAATAAATTTTAAAGAAAACGTTTAAAATTTACTGTGATTATATTTACTCTTTTTAACTCCATAAGTACTTGATAAAGAAAATCGTGATCTCTATTGGTATTATTAAAAACAATATTTTATTTTTCTTTTTAATGAAGTAAAGGCTGAGAATTCCAAAGGCTACCTACAGAGAAGTTGTGGCTAATGGAGTAGCACTTACTGAACATCGCTGCTGCACTGGCACAGACAGCGTTTCTGTGTCTGAAATCTTGATACATGTTGAGTATTCTGCTAATTTCCCTTCATGCACGGCGAACCCAGTGGTAATGGAGACCAAACAGTGGATCTTTGTTAAAGTTTTAAATTTTTGTTGAGGAAATTGATGTGATTTTATAGAACTGTTACTGTATGTGAACTGTGTAGAGGAAGCTCTTTGGATTTTTTCTCCCTCACATGATTAGAAAAATAAAAGAGCTAAAATGGGGGGTGATGTATAGCATTTTTCAATCATGGTTACCTTTTTACTTAATATTTGGCCTGGTATAAAAGTGGAATATTTATTTTTTTCATAATGGCAAAGGGATTAGAAATATGAAGCATGTTGATTGATAAAATGAAGTAAAACTGATAGAAAATACTTAAAGTTACTCTTTACTGTTATAGTATTTTTAGCTTTAATGTTTATATATTGAGTTTAATCTCTGTGTGTGTTTAAAGTACATTCATGTTGGTTTATAGCACAGTACTAGGGTACTTGCTTGTTTGATCTCCAGCACCACAAAAATATGCATTACAATAAAATACAATGCAATGCAATACATGGGGAATTAACCTTGACCTTTAAGGATCATGAAACAGGGATTTAGCTCAGTGGTGTCGCCACCTGCCTCACAAGTACAAGGACCTGAGTTCAATCCCCAGTACAAAAAAAAAACCATGAAACATATTTTCCCCATTTTTACTCTTTTTTACAAATTTCCCCCAATTTTTGTGACTATTTGTATAGTGTTTTCCCTGCTATAACTTACTGTTTAATTAGTTTTAGTTGGTGTGTTGCTTGAGAGACTACCAGGAACTGAAAGATTAAGCTGTGAATTAAAAACGGACTCAAGGGCAGAACACAAGGCGTGCTGGTCAGTGGACGCCTTCCCCCTTCACCCCGACAGGCTGCTGACGAGGCTGAGGTGGAGTTGGGGCTCTGGGGCTGGAAACTGCCTTAGTTGTGCCATGCTGAACTGGGAAGACAGGCCTTTTCTCCATTCCCAGTGTCCACTTGGACATTTTGTGTGCATTTGGCACCCTTACAATCTTGAAATGAAATTTGTGGATAGCATTTCTTGTTAATAATGTGATATGTATGTTACTCAGAATCATGATGTCTTTATTACAGTGAAAAAAGACATAGGAAGTCCTTTGTTCAGAGCCCTTGCACTGCAGTATACAGGTGTGCAGACTGGTGTGCTGGGTGACACTCCGTGGGTGTGTGGTGCTGCGGCAAGCACAGTGTCACCTGAAATGGTCAGATTAGATTAAATTTGGAATAAAGTACTCTTTTACTTCATACTTTGCAACACTTCATGCCTGTCTAAAAACCAGGTTGTATTCTGTGGCGATTATAAACAGGGTTTTTGCCCACATGCGTTTTCAGTGGGCCTTTGAGAGTGGTGACAAATGCAGGATGATCTTTGCCTGGGTAGACTGTCCTGGGTGCTGCAGGACCTCTGGCTTTTCTGATCTCTGCCTCCTCAATGCCTGCAGCACTGGTTGTGACAACCAGAAAGCCCTCGCACATTCCCTGAGGCCTGCAGGCTCTGGGGAGCAGGGCTTTGTGAGCAGGTTGTGGGTGTCAGGTAAGTTAGCCCCTGTGCCTCTTCAGCCAAGAGAGGACCTGCTCTGTGTTGGGGGATGCTGGTGCTGCAGAGGGAAGAGCCGGGGAGCTTGTGTCCTTCATATGGCAGGGCAGAGAAGGTGTGGTGACCGTGGCACAGGTGAGATCCAGGGCAAAGGTGACCTGTTTTCTGCTTGCCTTTTCCTTCTCTCCAGTCTCCCTGGGAGTCTCGACTATCAGCGAGTCGTGGTGGGGATGTCCAGCTCTGCCCGTGTGGGAGGGTGGCCCCGAGGCTGCTCACAGAGCAGTAGACTGTGAGACTCAGGGATGCCGTAAGGACGGCCGTTTCATACAGAGTGTGCCAAAGTTTGCCTTTTGGTATTTAAAAAAAAAATAATGAGAGAAAACAAGCAATCAGTAGATGGGGTTAAGGTTACTCCAATTCTAAACTATCTTTGCTCTTTTTTTAAAAACCAAAAGCATCAAAAACCTCATATGTGCAATATCAGGTTTCCATTCCATCCCTCTCCTTTTTCTCCATTTCTGATTATTTTCTTCAGAAACAAAATATAAAGAGTTTTTTGCCTTTCATAAAAGTTGCAGGTGAATGTTTTCCATTGGCTGGATCTCCTTCCTGAGCTCCATGCCCTCCCCTCGGGGAGGTGCAGAGAGTGAGGAGTCATGGAGGACTGGGAGCCAGCACTCCATGGAAATCCAAGCCGATGCCGCTGTCATCCATGGAATGCTCCCTTCTGATTGTGCAGGTTGCCCCTGACATCCCTGAGCCCATCACTTATGGCCAAAGAGCCGCGTGCTGCAGGCTGTCACCCACCCACCAGTGGAGTCATGAGTTACTGGTCATAGAACGTTGCAGTGGAATTTGGTCTTTATGTTACAGTCATTGGTGCTTGCAGATATAGGCCTTCAGTTATACAGTGGAATATCAAACCCATTCCCCGTAACCAGGCAGTACAGACTGAGAAGTAATCATTTTCAGATGTGAAAGTTTCCAATCCTCCAGAGAGGTGTAGTTCTACATTCTGCAAATGCCATCAAAGTGAGTATGCTCTGGAAATATATGCAGAGCTCTGGAGGCAGACTGTGGACTGCAAAGTGAGCAGAGTGCCAAAGAGCAGTGGCCCCACACTTCACTTCTGAGTAATATGGGTGCTGGGCCCCATCGCAGGTCTATCTGGGTGGGATCGTTAGGGTAGGGCCCCAGAGTCTTTGCTTTGAACAGGTTCCCCAGTTGATGCTGATGATCATATGGTTTTGGAAATCACCATTGTGGGTCAGAAAATGAGCGCTCTACATAGAATCTTACCCTGCTGCCTTTCCAGATGTTCTGCCCTGCATTTGATGCCTCTTCCTGGCTGTTTCCCCTGAATCTCCAGGTAAAGCCATCACAGAGGTAGAGTGAGCCATCTACCCTCACCCACACCTAGCATTGTTATCAGCTTGACTTATCTTCCTTTTTGCCCAGCTCCAAACACTGGCTTCCTCTGAACAGTTTTCTGCACTTTTGCCCCCTCAGAACAGTCCCATTTTTCTCATCTGTCCTGTCCTGTTTTTATGAACCCCATTTGGGTTTTATAGGCTCACTGGATGTTACTGCATCCTGTCTTCCCACCAGTTCATATAACTAAGAGGTTTGTTCTCTAGAGCAGTGATGGTGAAGCTTTTAGAGCTTTCAGTGATGCAGACAGCTGGCCACAGTACATGTGTCGTAAAGCAACATGCTTCTATTTTAGTAAAAGTCTTCAACTTAGCAGGCCAGTCCTATCACGCTCAATCCCAGGCATGTTTCTTCCAAGTATTATAGGCTTATTGGCCCTCACGGGCAGTTGACTGTACTCTTACCCACACTGTTGTTTCTGGCTGTGTCATTCTCCTGCATAAGGTGTGGCCTGTTGCTCTGTCGCCCTTCATTGTAGCTCAATTCACCTTCAGGTTCTTGAGGAGGCCTCTTGGTCCCTTCTGGACCAGATGTACCTCGGCCCACTTCCATGTCTGCTGCTGTGAGTTGCAGTTACATAGCTGTTGGTTATCCTGAGTTTGAATGTTACACTCTTCTAACCAGCCTTGGCATCTTCATACCATACACAGCCTAGCACTGTGGAGAACCTCAGCCATTGCAGACAGGCAGTAATTCTCTGTCCCTGTCTTTCTTTCCCCTTTCCTCCTCCATCTCTTCCCTTCCTCCCTCTCTTTTACTGGAGATCCATCCTAGGGCCTTCACACTGAGCTATATCGCCAGCCCCTTTTGTTTTTTTGTTGCAAGCATGCAACACTATACAAAGCTCTGCCAATGTTTTAGCATTGAAATTTCCTGGAAAATATTCCAGTGCTGGAAAGAGTAAGAATTAAAATCTCTTACTCTTTCTTTTCTGCCTCAATGATGAATCCAGCCATATGAAAATAACTTTTTCAAATCTGTTTAAAAGGTGGAGGTTGCTTATGTGACCAGCATAGGGTGGTTTCAGATAGCTCAGTCTAGGTGCCTGCAGAAACTAACGTGGTTACTGGTTCTGTTTTTATGGGCAGGTTTAAATTAACTTTGGTTTTGGAAGTAAAGTGTTAAATAGAAAGGTGGAAATTCCTTGACCTTTGATGGGTTTGAGCTAAGTTAGGTTTGGGGTCTGAGGAGAGAATTCCCAACATTTAGGTAGAATAATTAGATCTCTACTACAGTAGTTGCCAGTACTGGAACCTTTGCCACCTAATTTTAAAGCCTCTCTCCTCCGTGGAAATGGATGTTTTGCCTCCAGGAATGTAGCCAGCTGTTAGCGTGAAGAGAGCCAGCCTGTTAGGACAGGGAGCTGACTATTTAGTTATTGATGGGCCTGGGTTAGGCGCTAAGCATTTCTATCCTAAGCTGAAAATGGGGCAGAGGGACCTGCTTTTGCATTCTTGCTTTTCTTGACAAATTTCTTAAGGGTACTGTTTTAGAAGCAAGAATTGAACAGTGATTCTGAAGTGAGAGTTCTGGTTTGAGTCTATAGTTTTCTGCTCTTTAGTAATTGACTGTGGTGGAAGCCCTTTAATAACAATGGCTTTGAATAAAACAACTTGAGCTTGGAACCTTTACTCGTTCTCTTCTAATGTGGATGCCATTTTATATTGTCCATATTAGTAAAAGAAAGGCAGAAAAAAGTCACAGCCCAGGATTTAAGATTCTACTACATTATGTTTGACATACCATCTTAGGCAGAGCTTTCTTAACTTTATTTAAACCTTGGCATTCTCTTCTGGAAAATGGCAGAACACTGGTACCACCTGATTGGGTAAGACCTCCCAGTGGGTTGTGAAATGCTGCCTAGCCAGTGCTAGTGCCGCATTGCTCCTGGTGTAGTATTTATCTGTATGGAACACTGTGAGGCACTTTGTGCTTCTTCCATTTTACTTTTTGTCTAACAGCTTGGTACCTCTCCAAGGAGGAGCTTAGGTCTGTTTGGATGAGAGTCAAACTTGTGACTGTGATTAATGGGGCCACAGGTAAATCAAGTGTGCAGAAGTATGAGTAATGGTCAGGTGATAAACAAAAGAATGAACCGTATTTCCCAAGCATGTCACAGGTCTTGTAGGCATGGTGACTTCCTCCCTGACCAACAGGGTGGAGGTGAGCAGAGTATGAGAATAGGGACACGAACCTCACTGGCCCGGGTGGTGCTGCTTCACCAGCTGATCAGCTAGAGGCCACGTCTTGCTGCCCAAGGACCTGGTCCTGATGTGAACTTGCCCTCCGTTTCCTTGGTGAACTTGGCTGATGCATGAGGGATATCTCTAGCCCTGAATAGTGCCATTTTAAAGTCTTTAAAGTAGAGAAGGTATAGAGTAAAATATAGTGTATGATTGCCTACCGGGTGGAGCCTTAAGATACTTTAATGATCTGGCTAAGTTTCTGAAGCATTTATTGTTTTTAAACATAGGGTGTCACATATATAATGATAGACTTCACTCTCAATTCAAAGAATCAAATTTATCATATGTAATGATATTGTTGTTAATTATATTATAGTTACTATTACAGTATTGGGATTGAACCCATGACCTTTGCATGAAGCAACCTTCCCAGCCTTTTATTTACTTTTATTTATTTTTATTTTTCGGCACAAGGCTTTCTAAGTGCCTGAGTTGTCCAAACTGGGCTCAAACTTTCAATCTTCTTGCCTCAGCCTTCCAGGGTGCTGGGATTATACAGATTATATATACACATATCAGTCAACTTTCTTGAGGGAGGTGGCAAATATTGAAATAAAGATTCTTGAACTTTATAGGTGCTTATTTGGTTTTAAATGCCAACACCTAGAGAGTCTTAGTATATATATAAACCCAAGAATTTCAGTCCCTCATGTTGATAAGTCAGAGCTTGACAAATGAAACTATGTAGGCGGTTGTGTGGTTTCTAGACCTTGTTTGACACAATGGATTTTTTTCTTTAAATTAATAAACCTAAACAATAGTCTTCAGTGTGTATTAGGGTAAATGCTCCCAGGCAGCTGGAAGGGACACCAAAGTTAGAGATAAAGTTCTCCTAGCATGTTTAATTTATTGCAGGAAGACCAGCTAACACATTGTTCTGTGGAGTAACTGTAGGGGCTTGTTGCAGATTCTCCCTCCATCCAGCCTATTTGGGATATTCACATTTTAATGGAGATCTCTGAACAGTGCCCTTGGCCTTATTTTAGGAGTTGGCTAAACTGAATAGGTAGACTTCTGCCAGGTTCTATTAATTGGCACTTTTGCTATTTCTAAGGGATACACCTGGTCTTTAGTTGCAGTAACATAAACATCTTTAGTGATTTTAAAAATTGCTAATCTTCCAGTAATATTGTGCATTGAAAGGTTACAGTAGTCCTTCTGTGTTTTAGAAATGAGTAGCTTTCATTTTTACCTCCCCTTCATGTTTTGTCCATATGCATGCTTGGTTTTCACATGGCAAAGTTCATTGCTTCCTAATGCCACTCGGCTTCCTAGACCCTCCTGCCGGCTTTGATTACTGCAGCCTGGTTGTTTGAAGCCTAACTGAGCTTGGGATTCTTTGGTAAGAATTTAACACTGTATTTAGTAGAATAAAATTATAACCTGTGAATCTAATTTATTCATTTTTAAAATAAATCAATACTAACATGTAGAGTTCTCAGTTTTCTCATCTGTAGCAATATGAAGAGTTTTGGGGACATGGGGAGTTGGTTGATTGAGACTGGAAAGAATGTGAGTGTTTTAGACCCTTGGCAACAGCCCCAGACCTGGTATTTATGTAGATGGGACCTCACTTTTCAGTGGTGGAGGCTCAAGGAAATTTGGGTTAGGCACTAGTTAGGGTAACATCTTCTTGGCCCTAGGTGACAAAGCTGAGACATAGTTTGTACCTTAGGTGAAATTCTGAGTGCCTTCACTGCTGGTCTGTGATGTGGCTGCGGAGGTGAGCAGGGAGAGCCAGGCCAGCAGGAGGACTTAGCACACAGTGGCCATTCAGTGTGGAAAGTGAGCGTGATGGCAGTTCTCTGTCATCTGTGGCTCCAGACACTGGTGGAAGATGTTTATCTTCCATGTTGTTGGATCCTCAAAGTTTGTACCTAGATTTGAGCTCTGGTTTAGAAGGGATTTTTGATCAAATATTTGGTCATTATGCAATACAAAGAACACACAGGGAAACAAGTATAATATTTTTAGGAACAAAGGATAGTGTACCTGAACTTGAGAGGTGCTGTAACGAATCAGATTTATTCCTTGTGTGTTTTGTCCATGACTGCAGCTCCCATACATAGAACAGTGTCAGGCGCAGATCAACAGTAGATCAACAGCAATTCTAGTGTGTGCTGAGTGAGTGCTGTGACAGGAATGTATGCCGTGTCACAGCCTGGTCTGCTGACAGTTGTTGTGTTTCTCAATGGCTTGCAATGACAGGCATGCCAAGTGAGATGCTCTTATTGTAATATGATAAAGTTTTGACTGTTGATGTTGCTCATGAAAATGCTCTCCATCTATATTGTTTTAAAAAATTGCATCTCTAAAAGAAAATAATTTTTACTTTTTACAGAAGTATAGTTCTGTGGTAGATTGGGAATGCAAAAGAGGAGAGGCTTCATTACATGTAGTTTGAGAGGCATTATGAGTGACAAGCTGGTGATAGTACAGTAGTCAAATATATGATACATGAAAGGTTTACAGTATGGGTCTACAGGGTCCACCTGCATAGTCAGGGGTGGAAGGGTGCACAAGGGTCATTTGCACACTGGAGAGCCAGGGTATCTAGATGAAGGCTGAAGGCCTAGCGCTCACTGCAGTGTTTGGTGTGAGTCCTGTTCGAAAGCTGAAGGAACTGGAGACAAGGGTCCAAAGATGATGGTGAAGATCAGAGCTCCTTCAAGGAAGCAAGAGAGTAGAATTTCTTCTTCTTTACCTTTTATTCCATCCAGATTACAAGCCTATTTGGTGCCACCACATGCAGGAGGGTCTTTCCTTTTCAGTTTTTGACCTACATGTCAGTCATCCACAGATCTACACAGAGCCGTGCTTCACTAATGGAGGAGGGTTTTTTTTTTTTTTAATCCATTCAAGTTGACAATACCATCAACTATCACAGAAGAGTTACTTGGGCAAGGAAGCCTCTCTGAAGATGATGTTGCACTGAAACTTAAAGACATTGGAGAAGACCTTTTAAAGCAAAGCAAACCATAGTGCAAAGGGCTGAAGGCAGCCAAAAAACTAGTTAGTGTGTTCGAGGAACAGAAAGACCCTACTAAGTAAGAGAATAAGACAGGCAGCTGGCCCTTCCATCTGCTTTCTGGATACCAAAGACTTTTCTTGCTTGATCTCGCTCTGCTTATTTTGTGTCCTTCTTTGGTCTCTTTTCCCCATCTGTCTGTGGACTTGCTCACGTCATTCCTGTCCTAAAGAGGAGACCTGTGTTTTGCTTGTCCTGCCTGTCTAGGTTGCTGCTTTTTACACTGTTTGCCTTGATGGCTATGCATTTAAAGGTGTCTCCTCTGTGTCTGGCTGTCCACCTGACCTCCCTTGTGACTCCATTTGTACTGTAGCCTGTGTATAGGGCTGCCTGGAGCTCTGGGGAGTAACATTGGTGGGAAGGAAGGATTTCTATAACTGCTTCTGGGCTTCTGCCCACCTCACTCTCTGGGGTTGCCTCCAAAAGCGAGTGGGAGAGCCAAGACTCACTTCTTACCCCTAGCGCCCACCACTGCCTGTGTGGCCTCTCCCTACCTAACCAGAGGATCAGGCTGCCTCTCCACTCGGCCCTCAGGTGAGCTATTATGTGATTTCTCTGTGCTTCCTCCTTAGTCTTGTCCTATCCCACCACAGATTTCCTCCCAGATAGGCTGTTTTACCAGACAGACACTCTGTTTGGAACTTTATGCTTTAATGTTTGCCCCACTTCATAAAGAAATGTGCCCAGCTCACAGATGAGTACAGAAAGTGATAGTGCTTTGCCAAACTGTAAATAGCACAGCTGAAGTAACACAGAGCCCGAATTTCTGTCTTTGAATTCTGTTTTTAACAATGTTGGGATGCCTTAAATGCTTGAAATTCGTACAGCAGTGAGAGAAAATTCTAAGACAGAATTTGGGTAACCTGTTCAGTAAAATTACTAATATGTAATCCGTCAAATAATAAATTGAATGGGAATGTGTCCTGCTTTGATCCTATTTGTCAGCAAAGGTACTGTTTGCCTCCTGGGTGGCTGACGTTGAGCTGGTCATACTGAAGGCCGAGGTTCCAGTGTGCATTTGCCCATAGTTAGCTCTGCTGCTTTTTAGCCCCTGGAGGACACAGCGGGCCTCTGTGCTCTGGGGCACTTCTGTGTGATACAGGTGTGCACACAGGCAGCTTGGTGCAAGCATTGCTACTCTGTCCTCATCTGTAGAATGGTGATTAATAATAGCACTTAAAGCCTTGTAGGGTTTATGTAGATTTGTGAGCTAACGTCTGCATAATCCTTAGAATATGTTTTAAGGCTGGATAAGTGTTAGCCATAGAAGTAATCATTACTATTACTGTGAAATAGAAATAATTACTCGATATTTATTTATGGCAGTTTGAGAGGGAACCTTGTCTTTGTGTGTTTGTGTGCGTAAACAAAAAGTATAAAAACAAAAGCAGGCTTGTTTCTCAGGAGCTCTGTTCCTCCAGGCTTGAATAATTACAGTGTGAGTGATAGGAAAGTTGAATCTGAGTGAGGCAATTTGTGCAATGAGATGATGCAACCACTCTTCAAGTTCTTCTTAGACTTCAAGTGTAGTAGTGCTGCTCTTTTTTTCCTATCCAATTTAATTCTCAGGAATATCTGCAGAGTGGTGGGTCACGTATCTGCTTTGCATAACATTTTCTACTTGAGCTTACCTTCTTTCTCAGGGTGGCAAGTCTCCTTGGGAAAGAATCTCCTTTTTGAAATTAATGATACTTTTGATTCAGTTCTGCCAAGACTAGGAATTGTGCTTTTGTTATTCTTAAACTGCTTAAGTTTTCTGGGCTTTTCAAGCATAATGTTTAGTCACTTTA